AGGGTCTTTCAGAAACAGCCTCTCTACTCCATCGGGGTAGGGATAAGGTCTGCGTACACATTACCCTCCCCAGACCCCACTAGTGGGATTTTACTGAGTTGTTGTTGTTGTATTATTTATTCTACTTTTTTATATAATAATATTACCTCGTACCTTACTTTTTCTTTATAATATTACTAGTTTATTCTTATTGTTGGTGCATGACATAATGAAATGATGACAAACAATACAATCTATCCAAATATTGTATACATCAAAATGATAAAGCACAATACAATACAATACTATACGATATATTATGAAATGATAGATAACAACCATCAGGGAGAGCTAATTATACTTTTGAAAATGCTTTGCATAATTTATTTATTTATATTTTTGTGTGTGATAAAAGGAGTTGTAAATTAGGTGTTAAAGAGAAATATTTATGAATAAATCTTGAAAATGATGGAAAAATATATTATTATGAAATGTTTGATATGTCTTTGTGAATTTTGCAAAGTATAACTTTGTCTTACAAATAATTAAATTGAGACAATTCCCTTAATAGTATAGACGTATATGATTCACGTTCCGAACAATGGCTATAGATTACAGTAAATTAAAATTTAGGGTTAATTTTACAAAATATCGTATAATATAATTCAGCTTCGGATGTATAAAATTGATAATGTGAAACAAATGGAAGTGGGGCAAACATCAAACCAAAAAGAGAAGCCAAATGTGTTCAACTCACAAAATGTCGAAGCAACCTATGACATGGACCGCGGAGAAATCCAAAGTAATTATTTGAAGCTTATCAGTGGCACAAACTTGGAAGAGGAGCAGAATAGTGATTATGTATATGATTTAAAACATGGACAACAATCTGATTCTTCTTCAGAAGAAGAGAGTAGCTCAAAAGACATGGACTATGCTGATGAAGAGAGCTCAGAAGCAAGTGAGGAGTATGCTAGTGTTGACAGTGAAGAGATATACAGTGATGATCAAGCTGATACTTTGATGGATCCTCCTCGAGATAATAGTGATGATCATGCAGACATTCTAGTTGATACATTTTGTACTCAATCATTAGTGGATATTGCTGTGACATCAGAATTGGACACCATCGACAACAAAGCTCATCTTTCTACTAGGGGTAGAGGCAGGGGCAGAGGTAACACTAGAGGTGGCAGACAAACAACAAGAGGAAGGGGTGGTAGACACTCTACATATCAGCCTGTGAAAACCTCACAGGAACTAGACCTTTCCAAATAATCTAATGATTAAGTCCCTATTTTGGAATATCAAGAGCATCAATTCTAATGGTGCTCTTGAGAGACTTAAGCAACTTATTAGATCACAAAAACTTCTTTTTGTAGCTCTATGTGAACCTTTTTGTAAAGCTGCTAAATTGGACAAATACAAAAGAATTTTAGGATAGGCAAATGTTTATGCCAACAGTAATAGTCAAATATGGATTTTTTGGGATGAGCTACAGGAATGCAGGGTTATTGAAGAGAGTGAGCAACAAGTTACATGTGAAATCAAGTGGAATGGAGATACAATTATAATATCGGCTGTTTATGCTAAGTGTGATGCTGTACTTAGGGAAGATTTGTGGGATAGCTTGAGGGACATTGCAGATAGGTACAAACTACCTTGGCTCATTGCAGGGGATTTTAATTGTATTGTGGATCCTGGTGAAAAGAAAGGAGGTAAGCCTCACGGAATGTCCAAAAGCTTACCTTTTATACAGTGTATTATGGATTGTGAACTCATTGATCCAGGTTACTCTGGATCTATCTTCACATGGTGCAATGGATGGTGTCCAGAGAAGAGGATATGGAAAAGATTGGATAGGGTCTTGATCAATCAAGAGTGGTTGAACCTATTTGATTCAACTAGTGTCAATCACTTGATCAGGACTGGGTCGGATCATTCTCCCCTATTTGTCATTGCCAAAACTACACACAGAGAACCTATTAAGTACTTTCGGTTCTTGGATTTCTGGACCAAAGAAGCAGATTTTAGCAGGGTGGTAGAGCAAGCTTGGAATATGGAGGTGCAGGGATCACCAATGTGGAAGTTCCACATGAAGCTGAAAAATACTTGCAAGAAGTTGTCTGAATGGTCCAGGAATACTCTGGGCAATATTTTTGACAAGATTGAAGAGCTAGAACACAAAGTAGAGGAGATGGAGACCAACATCATTGCCGATAATTCTGAGGTGAATAGAGCTGGCTTAAATCAGGCTAATGCTTTATTGGTGAGAGCTTACAAGAAAGAAGAGTCCTTTTGGAAACAAAAATCAGGGGTTAAATGGTTTGTGGAAGGAGAAGTTAATTCTAAATTTTTTCACTCTGTTGTTAAAGGAAGAAAGAAGAGGTTAACTTTGAAAAAGATGAGAAAGGAAGATGGAACGTGGGTTGAGGGTGATGAGGAAATTGCTCATGAAGCAATCTCTTTCTTTCAGAATCAGTTCACAAGGGAGAACTTTGACAATGACTTCTCAGTTCTGGGGTGTATTCCTACAATCATTGATGATGCAGATAATGAAAAACTTATAGCAGTACCAACCATGGAGGAATTAAAAGATGTGGTATTTTCAATGAGCTCTCAGAGTGCACCAGGCCCTGATGGTGTCTCTGGGAAGTTCTATCACTCATGTTGGGAGATAATAAAAGAGGATTTACTACTAATGGTTCTTGATTTTTTTGCAGGTAATCAAATTCCTAAGGCATTTACTCATACTTGTCTGGTCCTAATTCCTAAGGTGACTATCCACAATCTTTCACAGAGCTAAGACCAATCAGTCTTAGTAACTTCTCATGCAAGATCCTGTCCAAGTTGGTGAACCAAAGACTAAGTCCCTTGATGCAGAAGTTGGTGTCTCCTAATCAAACAGGGTTCATCAAGGGGAGATCAATTACTGAAAATATCATGTTGACTCAAGATATGGTCCACAATATTGTTAAACCATCTGCAAGTGGGAATGTGGTATTGAAACTGGATATGGCTAAAGCATATGACAGAGTTTCTTGGGAATATCTTTGTCAAGTACTTAGACAGATGGGTTTTTCAGAAATCTGGATTGATATTGTATGGAGACTTATGACTAATGTTTGGTACTCTATTAACATAAATGGAGTTAGACATGGTTTTTTTAAGTCTAGCAGAGGAATCAAGCAGGGAGATCCTCTCTCTCCATCCCTGTTTGTCATTGGTGCAGAACTTTTATCTAGGCTTATGGACAACCTAATTGACTCAGGGTTCATTCCATACTCAGTAGATAAAAAGGGACCTAACATATCTCATTTGTGTTATGCGGATGATACTATCCTCTTTTCTTCTGCTGATCCTACCTCATTAATATTAATGATGTCTAAATTGGAAGTCTATGAGAAGGTTTCAGGTCAGATGGTAAACAAAGGAAAATCTGGGTTCTATACTTCATTGAAAGAGGGTGATACTAGAATTACAGACATTTCGAGGATAACTGGTTTTTCTTATTGCCAATTTCCGATGATATATCTGGGGTGTCCTATCTATGTAGGTAGGAAAAAGGTGGTTTACTTCAACAACATGGTGGCCAAAGTTGCTAATCGGATGCAAGGGTGGCAAGGAAGATTATTATCCTATGGTGGGAAGGCAGTCCTAATTAAATCTGTGTTGCATGCACTTCCTTTGCATCTACTAGCTGTGGTTCACCCTCCTAAAACAGTTTTGAACCAGATTGATAAAATTATTGCTAACTTCTACTGGGGAAAGGAGGATAGTAGAAACAAAAGGCACTGGATAGCTTGGAGCTATTTATGCTTTCCAGTGCAAGAAGGGGGAGTTGGTTTCAGGTCTTTACAAGACACTTGCAATGCATTCTCTGCCAAACTCTGGTGGAATTTTAGGACTCAAAATACCTTGTTGAAGAAATTCTTGGAGGCTAAATATTGTAAAAGATCTCACTCTGTTGCAAAGAAATGGGTCTATGGGCAATCTCATACTTGGAAAAGACTAATGGACATAAAAAAAGATGTTGAACCTGCTATTTTTTGGAAGATAGGAAGAGGTCAAATTTCTTTTTGGTGGGACAATTGGACTGGTCTAGGAGCTTTAGCTAATCTAGTTCATGCTATTAGAACACCCAAGAATACTTTGGTGAAGGATTTTATTCAGGCAGGTTCTTGGAGACGAGAGAAATTACTGGAGGTATTGCCTCTCAATGTGGTTAACGTAGTTCAGGAAGTGGATATCAATGAACTGAGGAATGATTGCCCTTACTGGATGCCGGAAAATTCTGGAGTCTTTACTTGTAAGTCAGCGTGGGATATTATTAGGAAGAAAAAGGGGGAGTCTCTGACATGTAAGAAGATCTGGCATAAAAAAATGCCATTCAAGATCTCATTCTTTATGATGAGACTTCTACAAGCTAGGATCCCTACTGATGATGTTGTTAAGAAATTTGGTATTATGATTCCCTCAAAATGTTGTTGTTGTAATAATCATGATGAGGAAACCATTTCACACCTTTTCAGTAGTAGTCAAATAGCAACACAGATATGGTCCTATTTTTGCAATGCTTATGGCATTAGGTTTATCAAGGATCAGATAAGGCAAACTCTTATGAATTGGTGGCTAGCTAAGGAAAGAAGCTTAGTTCACTCTATGGTTCTGCAGTGTTTACCTTCACTTATCTGTTGGGAGATTTGGAAGAATAGATGCTCAGCAAGATTTGAAGATATTCACATGTCAAGATGGCATATTATTCAACAAGTCTCTAATTGCTTATCTTTGATGCTTAACTGTCAATTCCCCAGTCTTACTCTTCCACATGTATGGCTAGAAAAGTGTAGGACTATAGAGAAGATTCAACACAGTATCCATTCTCAAGCAGTTTGGTGGAAGAAACCAGATAGAGGTTGGGTTAAACTCAATGTAGATGGGTGCAGTAAAGGTAATCCTGGATCAGCTGGAGGTGGAGGTATTATTAGAGACCAGTTGGGGGATATGGTGAAAGCCTTTGCTGAATTTTATGGACATTGTAGCAATAACATGGCTGAAGCTAAGGCAGTTTTACATGGTATCAAATTGTGCAATAGCTTAGGACTTCAAAATGTTATTGTGGAGACAGATTCCCTGTTAATTGTTTCTATTATCAACAGAAGGATGAAGCCACCATGGCGGATCAAACATATTATAGAGCAGATTTGGGAGATAACCAGTCTAGGTAATTTTAATTTTGTGCATACTTTTAGAGAAGGCAACTATGTAGCTGATCAACTTGCTAACCTGGGTGAAAATACAAAGGAACACATTATCTTCAATGAAGTTGTTTCTCTTCCAAGACAAGTTAGAGCTTCTTTGCAGTTAGAACAAGATGGCCTTCCGAATTTCAGATTCACAACAAGAAGGAACCAATTTACAATTAATGATGTTATTACTTGAGAGTATTTTGGTTCGGGCAGAAGTGACAAACTTGTATGTAATAGCAGTTTTTGGTGTTATGTACATGTCTATAGGTAAGGAGATTGCTTCTATTCTCTGTCCAAATTGTTTTTTGCAGTTGTACAATAGATTGGCCTTAGTCAATCTATACTATGTAATCGAGGCTGAGGTTTATGTCCTCCTCCGTGTAATTGTTATTTTTGAAATACATAAGTTGGAGTCATGCCTAACTCCTCCATCTTGACGATGGACTTTAAAAAAAAAAAAAGTCAAATGCTAATACCTCTTTCACTATGAAGATGTTACATTTACATCCTCTACTAGGTGCATCCGTAATTAAAAGACAAATTAAAATTATAACTGAAAAGTTTCTATGTATTTTTTTAATGAAATTTATGAAAGAAGACTTTTAGTTGAACTTTTTTATTTATAACAACAACAAGCGCAATGAAATTTTACAAGTGAGGTCTGGGGAGGGTGAAGTATACGCAAATCTTACCCTTACCTAACGAAGGTAGAGAGGCAAGTATTTATTTATTATGCCTTAGTTAAAAAAGAAGTAATATCTTTTGAAATATGTATCTTTTGAAGCTTTAAAATAGTAAATGAACACAAATTAGGCGTTGAAGAGAAATATTTACAATTTAATCTTGAAAATGATCAAAAATATATATTATGAAAATATTGAATCTGTCTATGTGAATTTTGCAAAGTATAACTTTGTCCTAAAAATAATTTAATTGAGACAATCCTCTTAATAATAGACATATATAATTCATGTTCCTAATAATGGTTAAATAAGAAATAAAGATGTATAGACTACAGTATATTAAATATTTTATACTAATGTTGGTGGTATAAAAATATTTGCACAATTAAGATCGAAGCATTCTGCAATTCATTTCTCATCTAATTTTAGTTACTGATTATACTCACATATGAAAATTAATAACTTTCAACAAACTAAAAAAATATTATTTTAATCTAACACATTAAAACAATTTGTTTGCATACTATCCAAGTTTTCTGTATTTCTTATATATTCTCTTTTTTCTTTTTCGAAAATCTCATTTTCAACAATATAAATTTCTTTTTCATCTCATAAAATTACTATTCCACCTAATTAGTGAAAAGTTGACCCATTTTACCGGTTCAAACCCGAACTAATATGTAAAAATAGCACGGTTTAGCCAGTTTTCGTACTGGTCATTCAAAAATAGCCAGCGTTTACCAAATCAATGAAAAATAGCCACTATTTTGCTGTAACATAGACCGGTCCAGCATAATATACTGGAGTTTGGTGCACATGTGTATGAACTTCCAACATATTATGCTGGAACTCCAACACACGGAAAGTTCCAGCATAATATACCGGAGATTCGAACACTTGTGTATGAATTTTCAGCATATTATACTGGACCGGTATACTTTGCTGGAACTCCATTATATTATGCTGGAGTTCTAGTGTACTTATGCTGGAACTCCATCATATTATGATGGAGTTCTAGCATACTTATGCTGGAGTTCAATTATACTTGTGCTGGAATTTCAGCATAATAATATACTGGCGTATTTTTTGAGTTTTGAATAGTGTTTTCGCTCAAATTTATCTTTACACGAAAAGTGGCTAAATTTCGATTACTTTTGAAACTTATGTATTTTTGAACTAGCACTTGTAAATGCTATTTTTGAATTTCTCCCGTATAAATGGGTCAAACATAACCCATTTTCTTCTACATTCATTTTAGATTTCAAAAGTTGTTTGCAAACAGAAACATTTCTCGAATTTCCACTACATTATGGTGAGTTTGTGCTTCTTATATCTTCTAAAAAATTTTCTGACTTAGAAAATAATCGCTGCTTGTAATTCGAAGTGAAATTATATATCTGTTCATTCAATTCATTTTCCATTTTTTCACCGTATGTAGTGGGAGTTTCTTCAACGTGTAATGGTGCACCGGAAATTGGTTTAATTTCCTAATTTTTTTTTTACCGATGGTTTATAGAGTGATTCTCTAATTCCTTTTGGCGATTGCATTAGAATTTTATTAGTAAAGCATAAAAAGAATGCAATTCAGTTAAAAAAAAAATAGCCCCCTTTGTAAAAATAAAGAGTAGCTTTTTTGAATTAAATAGAGCTGAAATTTGGTCCCCCTTGTGGTGTTTTGCTTTGTGGGATGTTACTAATATATATTTTTTTTTAATTATACAAAAGGTGAGGGGAGGGGAAATTGGGGACGGAGAGGGGATTACAAGGTGGGGAATCGAGTCCTCCGCCAATAAGGTGGAAGTTCAGTTGCCAAACAACTAAGCGCGTGTGTACTTTTTTACTAGTTGTTACTGTTTTGATTGCGTGAGTGCACTTCTTATTTTGTGGGAAATATGAAATGATTCTGGTCCAGTTTGGAGACAGTATATTGCTCCTTTCAAAGATGATGTTATGGTACCAGCTAGTGCAGTGTTCAATGTAATTAAGATTGTGAAGGTGGAGGAGTCGACAAGTTGGATCCTTTCATTGCTGCTCAAGCTTCATTGCAAAGTTAAGTTTGTTCTCTCTTCTATGGTGAACTAATATCTTATTTGGATACTGAAGCGTCTGCTTTTCTTGGAGAAAATTCTTATCTGGGATTTAGATGATGAAGGAAATTAGGGTTTGAAGATTTTATGAAATGAACCAGGTTTATTTTTCACCATCCTTCAACATAAAAAAGAGAGAAATAAAAAGATGTTGTTGGAGGTTTAATAATGACTCCAAATTACATAAAATTTTAATTTTAACAAAATGTTGATTTCAAAGTGAAATGGTAGTAAAATCTAACTGTTTCTACTGTGTGTGATTTCAGTTGCAACCTAGTGCACCAACGAGTAAGCACGTCAAATCTTGAAGAGTCCTTTCATCCTGAAAGGAACATGTTATCCAAGAGTCATGCGTCTCCTTTATTTGTTATTATATTATATAAGACCATTAACCTAGAAAGAAAATAGGGGTAAGGTCTAGGTACACACTACCCTCCCCAGACCCCACTTATAGGATTATATTGGGTTTGTTATTGTTGTATTAAACTAGAAAGAAGGAACCATGACAAGGGGGCAACTAACTCCCAAAATTGGTTTAGGAGAGAAAGTAACTTGCTTCCCGTTCTACTTGGAATAGCTCATTTTTCCTTTTGTCGAGTACTTGGAAAATATCGAACTTTTTTCCTGCTTCTGTCATTTTACCTATTGAGCATAAGATCTCAACTTTTTCCGTGTTAACTGGTTATTGCAGGTCTTAACATCTGTGGAGTCTTTGTGTATCGATATTGCTGTATTGTAGGTCCATTGAGTTTCCTAGTGATGAATTGTGTGTGGACATCTTGAGAGTGTTGAAAGCTGATCTGCCTGGTAAGCAGTAAATTCTCCGTTTATGCCTTTTTGTTGTCTGCATTTTGAGTGGAATGCTAACTCTCCCATTCATCTGTAGTTCTGTATAGCAGGTAAACTCCACACTTGAGCGCAAGTTATTGTTGGCAGGATTCTTGGACACACAGTTATCTGGAGCTGGCCGCTCTTTTGTGGTTAGTAATTTCACCCATGAGTCTGGTATCCTGCTTTTTTCTTTTCCTCCACATCAGCCCCGTGCGTCTTCTTAAATGAAAATCCATTCCTTTTGTTGAGATTTGAGTGAAGTCGAACCTATGTTTGTTGTGCATTTTAGTGCTGTTTATAGAATAGAGAACCTCTGCTTCTCTTTGTTCTTTCTTAGTCTGTCATATGCCTTATGTCAGGAATTTAAGTTTGGCATTGCATTATCATTATTTATGTGGATATTATAAGTGTCATATAAGCACTTAATCTAGGTTATTTAAGTTTATTGAGTTTTCAACTACTTTGTTATAATTTTTTCATAGGGGAACTTCTTGAATATGGTCTGCTATGTTTCCTGTTTTTGCTGTCTGCTGCTTTTTTCAGTTATTAATATAGCAGGGAAAAAGAAAATGTGTGTCACTATGTATTGTGAAACCTAAGTTTTAAGAAGATCGTACTCAAACTTTGATGCATGGATGGATCTTTAGGATTTCCCATCCTGATGTATCAGTAATGTGCAAGTGCTCATTAACAATAATGTCTCTCTCATTCAGTATTGACCTATAGAGGAGATCAACAAATTATCCTATAACCTCCTTTACTTTCTGTTTTCTGTCATATAAGATGGACGTGAGCCTTATAGGTAGAGGCAAAACTAATTAAGACAGAGCATACATGGCACACGAAGTCAACAACAACAACATACCCTGTATTATCCACACTGTGGGGTTTGGGGAGGGTAGTGTGTACGCAGACCTTACCCCTACCTTGTGAGGATAGAGAGACTGTTTCCAATAGACTCTCAGCTCAGGAAAGCATAAGCACCACATTAATGAAAATATAGACAAGAAGGGACAACACCAAAAGCCATATAAAAGCAGAATAAAGACAACAAGATAGTAAGGTGATCAACAATGAAAGAAAACAACGGTTAGTCATAAAAACCTACTACCAACAGAAAGCGAGACTGCGTGCCAATACTATTATTATGAACACTTTAGACTACCTACTCTACTACTCTAATTCTCGACCTCCATACCTTCCTATCAAGGGTCATGTCCTTGGTCAGCTGAAGCTGCGCCATGTCTTGCCTAATCACCTCTCCCCACCTCTTCTTTGGCCTACCTCTACCTCTTCGTAGGCCCTCCAATGTCAACCTCTCCCACCTTCTCACCGGGGCGTTTGTGCTCCTCCTCCTCACATGAACAAACCACCTAAGCCGCGTTTCCCGCATCTTTTCTTCAATAGGTGCCACACCTACTTTGTCACGAATAACCTCATTTCTTATCCTATCTAACCTGGTATGACCGCACATCCATCTCAACACCCTCATCTCTGCTACCTTCATCTTCTGGACATGAGCGATCTTGACTGGCTAACACTCATCCCCATACAACATCGTCGGTCTGACCACCACTCTGTGGAACTTACCTTTAAGTTTCGTTGGCACCTTATTGTCACACAAAACACCGGAAGCGAGTTTTTATTTCATCCATCCCGCCCCAATACGATGTGTGACATTTTCATCAATCTCCCCACCCCCTGAATAATAGACCCAAGGTACTTAAAACTTCCTCTCCTCGGGATGACCTGCGAGTCCACCCTCACCTATCCTTCCCCTCCTTGAGTCTCACCACTGAACTTACACTCCAAGTATTTTGTCTTGGTCCTGCTCAACTTGAAACCTTTAGACTCCAGGGTCTGCCTCCATACCTCTAACTGCGCGTTCACACCGCCTCGCGTCTCGTCAATCAATGCAATATCATCTGCAAATAGCATGCACCACGGCACCTCCCCTTGGATGCGGCGCGTCAGTATGTCAATCGCCAAGGCAAACAAAAAAAGGCTGAGTGCCGACCCCTGACGCAATCCCATCATAACCGGAAAATGGTTCGAGTCCCCACCTACCGTCCTCACTTGGATCTTTGCTCCATCATACATGTCCTTAATCACCCTAACGTAGGCAACAGGTACACCTCTAGCCTCCAAACATCTCCACAAAACCTCCCTCAGAACTTTATCATAAGTCTTTTCTAAGTCAATGAACACCATATGCAAGTCCTTCTTACTCTCCCTATACTGCTCCATTAATCTCCTAACAAGGTGGATTGGCTTATGTAGTCGAACGCCCCGGCATAAACCCGAACTGGTTCTCGAAAATAGACACACTCCTCCTCACCCTTAGCTTACCGCTCTCTCCCAGACTTTCATAGTATGGCTAAGCAGCTTGATACCCCGATAGTTATTGCAATTTGCACACAAAGTCCTTTTCTCATAATCTTGATGGTCTCAGACAGGAATTGATGAACTTTTTAAGAGTGATAAAGTTTGAGAAGTTTTTAGAGGAACTGTGAAAGCAAAGATAAAATAACAGGCGGTCTAACTTAGGAATGAATGTTCGGCTTCGAAATCTGCCACGAACAAAAGCCTAAGATTTGGAGAAGGGTAGAGGAGTCAGGAGCGAACCCATTGTCCACCAATTTTCGAACTTTGTGCCACTGGCTCCGGAGGATTTCTCGCCTATTAAAAAACAAAAAACTTAGGAATGAATGGCTATTTACCTCATTCTTTGGATAGTGGATATTAAATGTTTCATGCATTCAGGAAGCTTAAAGGAAGTTGAGATAGGAAAGAATGCAAGAGTTATGGAATTTGTTAGAGGAATTAATGAGGATAACTGAAGGGGTATTTTGAGTGGTGCCTCCACTTTCTTGCCATCATTTTGAGCAGGGTGTTGGTATTGTTTGTGTAAATATTCTTTGCAACAATGCTTAGCAACCGGGAGTTAATTTATATTGTGGCTTGGCCGTGACAAGAGGCAGATGTAGCTTTTTAACTACGAGTTCACCTAAACCCAAGTTTTTGTGACACAGAGTATATTTTTATTATGTGAAAACCCACTAAAATTTCAATAAATATTAGATCTGAGCCCATAATTTTAATATTACAATATTTTCAGTGCTAAGAATCTTAAAGGTCGAAAACATCAAGTTTAAATCCTAGATCCACCTCCGCCGTGACAGTATCAAAATATATGCCATACCATATGCTGTCAAAAGGCACCTCAATTACTTTTAACCATACGGCAAAAATAAGAAAAGAAGAAGGAAAAAGAATTAAAATTTTACTTCTGTATTCTTGTTTCGTGTTCATCACATGTGCGTATTTTATGGATTTCAGCCAAATCTTTTCAGCATATAGTTACATGTTATTTGGGGCCCCAGGTGAAGGTTTTCTGCATTGACGTCCCCTGCGACTGTTTATGTCAGAAGACATGAAGAGGACTTACACCATTACAATGATAGGCTGCCTTTTTAAGTCATGAGCTGATGTTACATGGCCCTTCATTATGCTTGATTTTGGATGCATTACTGATTACCAGAGGCAAAATCTGTCAGCCTAGTTTGTTACTTTTCAGAGCGTATGCCACTTTTGTGTATGCACTGTACAGCCGTTTCATGCCGGTAATTGCTGTTATTTTATATGAATTCTTCGTTTGCAGTGACATCTGTATAGAACTGATTGATATGGGCGTGAGTACATTAGATGAACTCTTCAAAATACACTAACAATTAGCTAAAAGAAACTTGACTTACCCATGCCGAATACTTACAAACACCTGTATTGACTCGTACAACATAGATTTGCATTCTTTTGGATCCGCACTCTAGCCATTTCTTTCTGGAAATTAGCCACCATGTGCAAAATTGTTGAGAGCCACACCTTTGACTCCTTTGTTTAGTTTAATATTAAAGTGCTTCCAGCTCTCCTGGGCAAGAAGCTGTGTGCTGCTATCAATTTCTCTATTTACTGAAAAGAAACAGAAAAAAAAACATGTAATTTTGTGTTTCAGGATATCTCACCGATCACAACTTATATAGTTGTATTTACATCTTTTCATCATGTAAGATGAGCGCCTAAAAATCGCAGATCAAGAACCTTGTACAATATCATTACTATTTATGTTGCTGGAGTTTATTTTAATGGAAGTCTGAAATCAATATTTATAATTAATTTCTTATAGTTGTGAGTTGCCGCGATGATAACATGAATCGCCTGCTTTTACCTTTATGCTAAATATAGTTGTTTTATGTTTGATCTATGAGTTTGTGACAACTTTTGACTTCCCTTATTTGTGGAATTGGTTGCATTACACATTTCCTATAGTACAGTCTTTTGTTATTTTCCTTTCAAAATTTCTTCTTAGATTCTCGAGGCTAGAACAAATGGATTCAGATATTACAAATGATATAATTCGATAAGATGATCTCCATGACTCAATGTGTTAGGATTGTGAACCAATCTCACATTGATAATTGAACTTGAAGGGAAAAAGAAGTTTAGGTATAGAGATATTCTTAAATGGTATCAGACCTGTTGTGAAAAAATGTGTTGCCGGTCCAAGCGAATAGTGTCACAGTTGTTAAGAGTGTCTTTGTGCTGGTATGAGGTCCAATAAACTGGTATCATAGCCAATGGTCCACTGGAGCGAGCATGAAGATATGGCAGATGTGCGTACCCGGTTGTTTGGAACACTTGGACCCGTTGGAGATGCGCATGAGGAGAAGTCTGTGGGATATGGTAAGCACAAAACTTGACAATGTGAGGTGGCACATACTGAATTTCCAGATTAACCTGTCAGTTTTGGTGGTTGGCTATGTGGTTCTAGGTTTGAGGAACCCTTCTAGTGATGATGGGACAAGCAGGATTTAGTTCGAGGGAAGATTTGACGGGAATGCGAACAATGTCTGTCACACCATTTAAAAATATCCCTATATCTTATATATAACTTCTTTTTCTTTTCTACTATCAATGTGAGACTTTATTCGCAACTCAATATATACTGTCATTTCGCTTATGAGATTTCTCTTTTAGTGTTGGGAAGAGAGACGATACACCCTTCTTCTCCCCTCACCCCCGGATGGATAGGTATGAGAGCTTGTACTTATTAGAGGGAAGCTTTGACAGTAGGACATTATTTTGTCGAAGTCACAAGAGTGTGAGTTAATGTAGATAAACTCTTTGGAAAATGTACAACTACTACAGCTGTTCAAAACACCCATCTTCTGTCTCACGCTCTTTAGTTCATGCTTATCAACATTCAATTTTTCCAGGACTGACGTCAGGATTTAGTTCACCTTTCTTGTTTAATACATTCCAAATTCCATCCACTCAGAATAAAAAGAAAGTAACGAATTTGGAAGGTAGTATAGGAAGTGGAAAAGTTAGAAAAGAAAATTTCCTAAAACGGAAGAAAACCTAGAGAAGTATTCTCAGCTGTAAAATCCTGTCCGTTCCACCTTTGCATGGGAACAAAAAGAAAATGCATGCATAAGCATCCATGATAATTGCAACTACAAACATGATCATTGATTGCTTTTGACAAGTACTAGTGAACTTCCCATGTACATAGACACTTAGGAGTCTATAAATACTACCCCTAAACCATATTAAAACAACTCAAAACTCATTTCTCTTCCAAATCAGTCCCATTTCCCCAAATGTCACACTGTTCTGCAGAAAAGAAGACCATGAAAATCAGCCAAGCAACTTCCAGAAAAGGTTGCATGCGAGGCAAAGGTGGCCCTGAAAATGCTAGCTGCACCTACAAGGGCGTTCGGCAGCGTACATGGGGAAAATGGGTAGCAGAAATCCGTGAACCCAACCGTGGCCCTCGCCTCTGGCTCGGTACTTTTGAGACTTCTCATGATGCTGCTATGGCTTATGATGCTGTTGCACATAAACTTTATGGTGATAATGCCAAGCTCAATTTTCCTCATATGAACACCAAAAGCCAAGCCCAAAATTCAACTGGCTCTAGCAGCTCGACATACAGTACTGGAGTTCCAGAGACTGTGAAAATGGAGAATGAATCATTGTTCTTCAACAATGATTTCGAAAGCAGCTGCTATTCCGGGGGGCAAGCTTCATTTCCATTACCGGACAACAAAAAAGTTGAAGAGGATAACAATGATGAAGGTGTAGGAGTTGGTGGAATGTGGGAAGATTTGAATGTGAACTTGCCGGAGATTGATGACTCCTCCATCTGGGCAGAGGCAAAAGCCACAACTTTGTTCCAGGCGGTGAATGAACCAGGAATGTTTTCTGGCAACTTAGGCGATGGGATTGAATATCCTCCTTGGTATTCATAAGCTTTAAAAAATTCACGCATAAATGCATTTGTACATGTATAGGTATTAGCTAAGCTGTCATTTAGTTGTGTACTGGAAACTTAAAGGTTTGCTATCTAAGGTCCTTAGTGATGTGATCTTGTTTGGTGTGTTTGTAAGTAAAGGGATGAATAAATGTTAGACTACTGTGTTAAGCAAATTAAGAGAAAAAAGTAGAAAACAGAAGAATATTTATATATGACTAGATCTACAATTTAGTAGTTTGCCCGTGTCTTCTTACTCTCCTTTTCTTGGATCTTTTTAGCTCATGCACAAGCTATGCTCTTTCTTAAGAGAAACTATCTTAAATAACCTACATTTGTGCTAAGAAAGTTAACAGTGCTCTAAACATTGGTGTTTATATCAGCACTGTTGCTAAATTATATGTCTGACTAAGATCAGTGTTGCTCAAGTATATCGATGTGCATTGTATTATGACCTCTGTTTGTGTAACTTCATTGGTTTTGGCTAAGACCAGTGTTTCTTTTCTCTCTTTTTAAATAGGTTGGGGATGAGAGAGGGCTTATGAATTATCACATTGATTATGTAGTATATACTCTGTTTCATTTTTTCTGTCTTTGCTAGAAATGTCTTCTGTAAATATGACTGATTACTCCTTGTCAATATGGTATCAAAGTCTTAACCTTTCTCCTTTTGCTTTTAAACTATTGATTCCTCATTTGTCATCAACTTCTATTTCTTGCGCAATTCTCTTTTTGCTTTTAAACTATTGATTCCTTATTTGTCATCAGTTTCTCCTATTTCTTGTGCAATTGTTTTTTATATTTTTGATTGACAGTTGAGATATCTTATTTTCTTGTTGTTGCTACTGTTTGAGCCGAGGGTCTATCGGAAGCATCGTCTATACGTTCACAAGGTAGGGGTAAGGCCTGCATATACATTACCCTCTCCAGACTTCAACTGGGTTTATTGTTGTTGTTGATTGACAGTTCAGACAAACTCTACCGACCTAATCGGAGAGGTGTTTAAGGCAATCGATCTAATAGTTCATCATTATGAATGTTGAAGGACTAGGAAGAATATTTAGCTTTGGAAGAGGGTAGGGAAGAAAGAATGATGTATTATGGTTTTTGCCTTATTAAACCTGGCAGTATATTGAGCATGAATCCATGATTGTGAGATGCCTTCACTCTTACTCTTTTTCCTTTTAAACTTTGATTCCTGATTTACTACATTATCTGACTATCATTTTCTCCTATTTCTTGCACAAATGTTTTCTTTTGTATTTGTAACTGATAGTTCATACGAACGCTACCGACATGATAGGAAAGTCTATTACGCAATCAATTTAATAGTTTTTTATGTACGACGTGGCAATTATCACCATTATCAATGTTGTAGGGGAAAGAAGAACGGCTTCAAAAGAGGGTATGGAAGAAAGAAAAAATTTCATTACATGAGTTTGTGTTATAATCCTTGTTCTTGATTTCTATTACTACCTAATGTTACTTCTGCTTTGGTTTTCTTATTATCTTCTTGTTGTTATCACTTCTTTTTCATATTTTCTTCGCTATCGTACTTCTTTTTAAACTGCCGCTATTTTGCTTTTCTTGAGCCTACGGTTTATTTTGTGCCTCTCTATCTACATAAGGTAGGGGTAAGGTCTGCGTATACACTACCTTTTCCAGATTCCACTTGTGGGATTACACTAGATATTTTAGTGTTGTTGAGTTTGTGTTACAAAACCAAATGTTGTACCAGAGGAAGAAATGAAGAGAGAACATGCTGATAGGAGGCGAAATAAGAACAGCAATGACAAAGGCACATGGTATATGATTATATGAATATATGGTGATATTATTCTTGGTTAAATTTCCCTTTTAATTATTGATTCTTGATTAACCATATACATCTAAGCTATCAATTTTTTTACAAATTTTACCGACATGACAAGAAAAATCTTTTACGCAATCAATCTAATAGTTTATATATACCACGTGGCGATTGTCACCATTATGATTGTTGGTCTTTAAAGAGGGTAGGGAAGAAAGAAGGATGTATTATGAGTTTGCCTTAGAAACACTAATGGTGATACCACAGGAAGCAAGCAATGGAAAAGAAAGAACATGTGGTAATTGGAGGAAAAATAAGAACAAGGAAGAATAACGGCAAGGATAAGAAAATGATGAGTATATGTATTTGGAACCATCAATTCTTTTCTATTTCTTGCATATTTGTTTTCTCTGTATGGTGTGGCCTTAGATTCCGCTGTCCCTTTCCGCTTCACTAAGAAAGAGTTTCGACTGACCTAGTATTGACTTATTACAGTTCAGATAAATTCTACCGACAGCGGAAAAAAAAACTATTACTCAATCAATATAATAGTTTCTATACACCACATGGTCAGGGGCGGAGCCAACAATCGGTCATGGTTTCGGCGAACCCTATAGCTTTAGTTCTAATTATGTATTTATTTTTAAGTAATTTATTGAATATGTATAAATTTTTTAATTTAGAACCCAGTAACTTAAAAGATTAGAATTACGCATAAGCTTCATTTTCTGGCTCTACCGCTACACGTGGCAATACTATCATTTATCACTAATACGAATATTGAAGAACAAAGGACAGTGACTAGGTTTGGAAAGGGAGACTTTTTAAACCCAGAATTGATTCCAACCGGTTAAAGATGCAACACTAAGTCACTAACTATCAAATCTTTGAAAATGGGCTTCGCTGAGAAGTGTTAACAGTAAAAATTTATTCATACTGTGTATTTACACGAAACTAATATTTTTGATAAACATTGTATTCTTTTAACTGATAAAGTTAAATTGCTTGGTTTGATACAAAACTTGGGTGAAGATAAGAAAAATAACCATGTGAAAAAATAGGAATAAACCTTCCTTTTCTAGAAAGTATTGCATATTTGACCTGTTTTTATTAAATAATCGAAAAAAGTATTCCGAGCTGTAAATTACAAATATGAAATTGATTGTCTGTGACTAGTATTAATAAACCTCCCATGTACATACAAACGTAGGAGAAACCAAATTCCTACATTAATGCTCATTTTCTGCTTACTCATCTATAAATACTACCCTAAATCATATAGAACAACTTAAAACTCAAACTCTCTTCCAAATCAGTTTCATTTTTCCAAAATATCACATTGCTATGGATAAAAGAAGACCAAGAAAATCGCCTAAGCAACTTCTAGAAAATGTTGTGTGCGAGGTAAAGGTGGCCCTGAAAAAAAAATGCTAGTTACACCTACAAGAGCGTTATGAATATTAAAGGCCAAAGTTAACTTTGGAAAAATATATGGAAGAGATATATCATATATAAAGTCTAGCCACCGGACACGTGTATTGCACGTATGTCTCACGATAACACATTTCGCATAATAATTGAAGAACAAAAAGTTAAAAAGGAATAAAACCTCCCTTTTCAATTTTTTTTTATACAATTCCCATTTTGCTACAATATATGGTAAAGAAAAATCTATTTGACCTCACAAAGGAAAGACAAATCAAGAAGTAACACAATATTTTTTTTTATTAAAAAGAGGACGCAATACATATGAAAAATAATGAGAGGACTCTTTGGTTTCATGCTGAAAAAGAATCATGAATTATCCATACCAATTATCTCTTGCTAAGTATCAGTGATATTTCTCCCTGTATAAAAACATATTAGAAACTAGCTTCCTCTATAAAGCTCATTGTCTGCTTCCTCAACTACAAATACTATCCCTATACTATATTGAACAACTTAAAACTCAATTTTTCTTCCAAATCAGTCAATTTCCGAAAATAGCACATTGCTCTGCATGGGAACAAAGAAAGAAAAATAAATTAACGAACCTAGAAGGAAGAAAACCTAAAGATATTCTGAGATGTAAATTGCTATCTTTGCATGAGAACAAAAGATATATACATGCATAAGTGCTTATGTAAAAAACAAATAGAAACATGATCTTTGATTGCTCTTTCACTACTAAAACAACCATAATTAACTACGAACTTCACCGCTAATCTGTTGCTATATCGCTCGTACCTAACATCATTTTTAATAATCTATTGCCAATCTGCCAGTAATTAGGATTAGCAATGAATTTTACTGTTTATCCGTCGCTAATTCCTGTTTTTAGTAGTGTTAACAAGCTCACGTGATAGACACGTATCTGAGACCAGCTTCCTACATTAAGCTCTTTTTCCTTTTAAACTATTGGTTTCTCATGTATGTCATTGTTATCTCCTATTCTTGCCCATTCTTTTATGTATTTTTAATTGACAGTTCAGCTAAACTACAGTGAGAGAACTAAAAAAATATATAACGCAATCAATCTAATAACTTTATATACTTATAAACCACATGGCCGTTATCATCATTAAAAATACTAAAGGCCAAAGAAGTAGCTTCCTAAGAAGGTAGGAAAGAAGATTTTTCTTATATAAAGGCTAATCATTTGACACGTACGTTGTACGTATATCTCACGTTAATTATATCAAATTTTATATCAAAAATAAAAATTGAAGAAAAAATCTTAAAGGAATAAAACTTTCTTTTTGGAAATATAGCATTTTTTTGGAGGAAAATATTGCATTTACTTCATCTTTTTTGTTTAATACATTCTAGATTTATCCACTTCGACGAAAAGAAAAGTAACAAATTGAAAGGTAGTGTAGAAAGTGAAAAAGTTAAAAAAAAATTCCTAAAAAAGAAGGAAGTCTAAATAAGTATTATGAGCTATAAAATCTTGTTCATTTTTAGCCACCTTTGCATGAAAACAACAAGAAAACGTATGCATATGCATTTGTGTTAATTGCATTACAAATATGGATACATGATTGTTGATTGCTTTAGATAAAGTCTAGTGAACTTTCCATGACACATAGGAATACCATCCACCTATTCTGGAACTTCCAGTCCCAATCGAAGCATATAGATCCGTAAATAGATTTGTATGTATATGTAATGACCCGACTTGTTGTTTTATAAATTAGCGTCCCGTTCAACGATTTAAGGTCCCGAGCCGCTTCGTAATGTGTATCATGACTTGCGTGCGTGGTCGAGTTTGGTTTTCGGATGATTCCGAATTAAATTGAAAGAACAATTCTTGTTTTTGAAGTTTAAGTGAAAAGAGTTGACCGGAGTTTGAATTTTGTGCAAACAACTCTGGAATGGAGTTTGATGATTCCAATAGCTTCGTATGGTGATTTCGGACTTAGGCGTATGTCCGGATTTGGATTTGGAAGTCTGTAGGACAATTCGGCGCATTTTGGCGAAAATTGGAAAAGTTAGAAGATTTAAAATATTTATACGTTTGACCGAAGGTTGACATTGTTGATAACGGGGTCAAATTTCGATTCGGAAATTGGAACATGTCCATTATATCGTTTATGACTCGTGTGCAAAATTTGAAGTCATTCCGAATTGAGTTGATACGTTTCGGCGCAAATTGTAGAAGTTGGAAGATTTGAAAACTCATAATTCGATTCGGGGCGCGATTCGTAATTTTGACATTGTTTGATGTGATTTGAGACTCCGAGTAGGTCCGCGTTATGTTATAAGACTTGTTGGTATATTCAGACGAGGTCCCGAGTAGCTTGGGTGAGTTTCGGATTATTTTGAGCTTTGTTGAAGCTGCTGGAAATTCTGGTTGCTGATGCATTCGCACCTGCGCAAGAAGGACCGCATGTGTGTGCTCGTAGAGGCGTGAAACTGGTCGCAGAAGTGACCCAGGGAAGGCTGGCTGGAGAGGCTTTGCAGAAACGAAGGAAGTGCAGAAGGTCTGCTCGCATGTCACGACCCTAAAGCGGACCCGGTCGTGATGACGCCTATCGTGAAACTAGGCTAGCTGACACAAACTCCAAAACCAATCCAACATTTATAATAAGTCATTAGTAAGCTAAATCCCAAAATGTAAGGTAGAATAGAACAATGCGGAAACAAACACAACCCGATATCGGGGTGTCGCCAGTCATGAGCAACTACAACTCGTCTAGTAATACGAAAAAGACAACATAGTCTGAAACAAACCAATACAAAGCGGAATAAAGATAGGAAGGAGAAGCACTGGGCTGCGAACGCCAAGCAGCTACCTAGTCAACTCCGAAGCCTGTTAGAAGATAAATCAGCACTCGCTAGCGTGACCCAAGACTCCTGGATCTGCACACAGGGTGCAGGGAGTAATGTGAGTACGCCAACCCAGTAAGTAATAAAAGTAAAGGCAGCTGAGCAGTAAGAAAGTAC